CTCCTCGGGATCGGCATTTGCGCCGGAATGGTGGTCGTGTTCAGCTTGTTATAGGCATGAACCGCGCACCATCCACCTGTTGCTTTAAGCACACAGAAGGTCGGGATGCAGTGAGGCGACTTGCTCTCACGTACGTCTCCCGACTTAGCTCGCTTGTCGAAGAACTCATCGATTTAATCGACTTGTGCCTGGTCACACAATACTTGGTGCCAGGTTACAGGTTCCAGGTCAATCTTGTGCCTGATTCCCCTATCGGCCGGTAGGCGGCTCGGCACTTCTGTTGGAAACACATCACGGTGTTATTACAGAACATCATAAAACGGGCTTTCCTTCAAGGCATCCCAGCCTTGAGAAGCAAATTGCTTCTTCTTGTCGGTTTTCAAGACGCTCTCGTCCATTGTGGACGACGAGCAACAGTCCACCACGTTCTATTCTGGAACTGGTAGGACTATCGCGTGGATCTTTCCTTCCTTTAGTTCGGACAGGAACAGATCCCACGTCATCTCCGAGAGATTTACTATCTCCTCGGCAGATGCCAATACAAGTTGGAGCACCTCAACTGAGGATGCCTCCGGCATTTTGTCTCCGACGGCCTCGAACAACTCGTTCGTAGGTCCGTCCTCTTGGACCGAGACTGATCCAAGTGTCACTCGTTCGACGTGCCCTTCATCGTCTTAATACGTCTGGTGCTCGATGCTCGAGTCACCACGACCTTTGACCTGGAAGAAGGTGTCGTTGCTGTTATATCCAACGCACTCCTTCCAACCGCACCATACTCATGACTCTATGCCGGTTCTTGTAGCGCTTGCCTTCCATTCGGCCCACTATTAACTGCCACAGGCTCTCGGCTCTGTGCAGGACTATTAAAAGCATGACTACTTGTTATCGCCTCATCCACTACACTAGTCTCTTCAAGATGGTTAAGAATATGTGTCACCTAACTTCCTGTCAGGACACTTCCAACTACTACAGGCTCAACGAGCTGGGTAATTCCTTGTGCCGATTGACATACCATCATCGCACCCTCGACTGTGTTGGACACAGCATCAGACACATAAGCCTTTCGCAAGAGCACATCCTTTCTGGTGTCCTGCGTAGAGTTAGCGACTGTGCGTGTACGTCAGTCAATCCATGGCTGCTATTTAGCCACCCAAGAAGGGTTGAGGTCGACCTTTCGGAACCTCAGGGACTATGCTACCCATTTTTTCGATCACTTCAAACTTAGGGGTAGCTTCAGAGTCCGCGACATTAGGGCATCCCGCCCCAACTCCGCTCCCGCATTTCCCGACCATCTTGGGCAGGCGCTGAACCCGTGCGTCGCGCACGCTGATTCTTCGCACCTCCCTTCAATGATAAGCATTTTTTCTGGATGCCTTAGCACCACCATTAATTTTGGCATAGCGGCGATTCATCATATGACGCGCTTGCCGCACTTGTAGCAGATCACGTCTGCATTACCCAACTCTATTGGAGTGGCATCAGACTTCTCGGACGACGGCCTGTAATAGGCTGTCGCCGAGGCGCTGTTGTAGGATTTCTCCTCAACCATGGCAATGTCAATTGCCTCTTCCATCGTCTTTGGCACTTTTTTAAAAAGGGCCTGACGCGATGGGCTGCGCCGTAGTCCATTCATGAACGTGGCCACCTTGATACGTTTCGGTATCGGCTCCTCATTAATGGACGCCGACAGCGAACGCATCTCCTGCACATACTCTTGCAGAGAACTTTCGCTTGTCGTGCTCCAAAGAAGCGCGCCTGAAATTATACTTCATTTATAGGCGGCTGATACATGGCGCGAATCTTTGCCTTAAAGATCTTTTATGGTGGAAACGCATCGTAGTTTGTCATAAGCGCAGAATAAGCCCACTCTGACGCTTTGCCACGCAAATTTGACATGGCATACGACACCATCCTGGTGTCGTCTTCGATGAGCTTCACCATACCGCATTGCTCCACGGCTAAAAGCCAGTGGACAATCGTATGTGGGCAGTCCCATTAAACTTCGTAGCGTCCATTCGAATGGTCCTTGGCTGATTAGACCGGGACGAGAGCGTCTTAACAGTTCTGTTGAGTGCCTCATTCCGAGCTTGCTCACGCAAAAGCTCATCTTTAGCCTTACTGATGGAGTTAGCCATGGCTTAGCTGTTTGCTCGGACACTATTCTACGCTGTCCGAGCACAACCGCCTCGAATTGCTCTAACTGAGCAACATGTTGCTCATGAGAACAATTCAAGAGGTTGGTCAGGGCTTTTTACGAAGTCCCTGCGCCAAGGGCTCATCCACCTACCTATGATGTTAAGAGAGGTGATAAAAATTCCTTCCAATCCATACTGAGAATCCGTACTCACGCACGCTCAAAAAGACGGTTCGTGGGAAACACTACCATTGTTACAAAGTGTAGACGGGCATTTCTAAGAGCTGCCACGTGTTACTAGAACACGCCCTCAAGTAGCGTGTGGAAGAAATTGAACCGTCTTACCTCCGCGTGCGGTGGTGGTGTTGGTCGGCGCTTAAAGCGGTGTAACAACCGTTGCCGATCGCTTCAAGCGAACTGCTCAACGAACTTAAGACAACACCAATTGTGTCGCACAAGTTGTTGCCAGTCTTTCTGCGCGCAGTGAGTTTAATGTAGTAAATTCAAGACTGACATATATTTGGCAAAAACTTAATAAATGTAAATTTAACAACTGATTGGTGTAGTATGCAAAAATTGGATACGCGTCTCTTTAAAAGCGTATCTCTACGTGCGAGCTTAAAAATATTTAAGCTCGCTAATGACGTCCGCATGTGACGCCATCATGACGCTTAGTCCCAACTGGGCGTCATCCCCTTCAATGTGAATCCATTAAGGGATTTTACATTCACGAAGGTGGGTCACACTGATGTGCCTCACCCAAGTGGGAGGTACGTACCCTTTAGACCTATCATATACCTAACGTACTTGTGTAACCATTGACTCGTTACAAAATTATAGGTAAAAAGGTTCGATGCTCTACCTTGATGTGGGTATCTATCATACGCAATCCTACGGGCTTTTGTAACCTCCTTACACTTTTCTGCCAAATGCTTTAGCAAATTCTTCGATCGAGCCGCCTTCTAAATTTCTGCGTAAATTTACACTGTGCATCGTATCGATTAATCTTGCCAGCTTTCATGGACGCGCGCAAAAAGAATTCCAATTCTCATTTAAAGAAGTACCCCCTTTTTACGGACTCGGTAATTTGGCTAGACATCTTGCCATTGTACTTACGGACATGTCGGCAGAGGCAACGGCAACGGCAACGGCATCAGGAGTGGTGTCCCCATCGCTCATGTTAGCTGGCGTCTGGGAAATATATGCTTTTTCTGTATTTGATTGTGGAGTGCAGGTAAAGGGGTAATTTATAAGGGGCCTCCCAAAAAGCATAATAAAGACAGGCCATGCCAGGCTGGCATAGCCCCAGGCTATAACTCCTAGCCGACACTAATTCCCAATTCGCGCCTTCGAGCAACAACGGCCAAGAGACGAAGACCTCCGAAGAGCCGGTCAACCGGCCCCCTCAGACCAGGGCGGGAAGTCCCTCCAACGGGAGGCCCAGGATAAGAGGGGGGAGGTTTTCCCTCTGCTGCGTGCGCTATGGGGGGCAAGCGCAGCGTGCGAACCGTAAGGGGAGCACCAACCCTGTCACCCCTGGGGGGAGAGGATCGACGACCGCGGTTATCATTCCCTTCTTCCCCGATAGTTCCTGCTATTCTACGTCAGCCTTCAAGCCGCCGATTCGATCGCCAAGCGCAAATCTCGGTCCCACGAAGTGAACTTGCCAAGAACGTGAATTGATCGGCCCCGTCCAGGTGCATCAGCGGTCGATCGGGACTGATCGGTGTGGTGCCCGGCGCTTGTTGCGATCATTGAGCCTCTGTTTACACCTCGGGCTGGATACCCGATTCCACGTGCCCTTTTCGGAGTGTCCCCCGTGACGCCCGACGTCTCGAGCCAGCAGATTGAGCCAGCGAGGCGAAGAATGACGAAGTCCTGGTAGAAGCACTCCAGACATCTTACCAATCCTTAATGCTTGAAATAGACGGTCTGTTCTTCTCAACTCCTAGCCGACAGCCTAGAGGCTTTGCCGGGTACCATAATTGGATGTGATAAAAAGTATCTATTGATAACTAGGTCTAGATTTGGTATTTGTCGACAAAAAACAGGCTGCAGTAAAAAACCGCATGATGATGATGCGATAAGCATATGCAATATGTTATTGCTTTCATGTTCCATAAGGCAACCAAGTGCGACGACGGGCAGTGACAGAGAACCTCGGCATAAGTGGCGAACCGTCCCCTGTACCTTGGATGAAAGGCTCTTTTACTTACAGGTAAAGGTTTTTAGGAGCCATCGCAAAGCCCTAAACATAAAAAATATGCAAAGTGTGGGATTTGATGTGGCTAGGTTTTGCAGCATAGCACCGTTTTTTGCTTCACTCACTATCTCATTCTGCAGCCACTGACTATTTTTTGTTCCGTGTTCACCATAACAGGTTCATTATTAATTGTCTACCGCTATCACTTCATGATGGATCAGTGCTGAAATCTCTCGACAATATTAAATTCGTGACGCCATGCCGCTTCTTGGAATTCTTTCATTACTTTTTCTGACTTTTCAGGGTCCCGTGCAGGTCTTGCAAGCAGCAATCGCTTGTACCAGCACAGCGGATTGCGCATGGGGCGAGACGTGCGTTGCGGGTGATTCTGACACTGCTGCCCAAGCGTGTGTACCTTCCACAGTATGTGGTGGTTCGTCGATGGGCAATTGTCCGTCGGATGATAGTGGAAGACTCGTTTGTCTATGGAGACCGTATAGTGACTGTAGTGAAGGTTGTGCAGTTTTACAAGGGAACAAAGGCATCTATAAATGCGTGTCCCTTTCGCGATGCGATGCGTACTACGGAGGTACTTCATGCAGTGGTAAGTCATATTCTGGGGTTGTATGATGTTGAGTGGCTGAGAGATTGACTATCAGGGTTATGTGCCAAGGTGAATGCAGTGTGAGTGGAGTGCGATGCAATGGTCAGGGATCGTGTAATATGGTGTCGTTAAGCCCTGGCAAAACGCCCAATTTTAGCTGCACTTGTGAAAATGGCTACAGTGGAAACAAGTGCGAGATTGCACCACGGTCAACGAAAGCCACCCCCACGAAATATTCGTCCATTGGCAACGGTGACTCGGCTTGGAAAATACTTGATGACGACTCTGGTGTGGAGGACGTCACTGCAGACAGCTCACCTAGAGGCGGATCTACGGACACCCCAGACGAAGGGTTTACGAAGACGCAGAAGATTTCATCTACTTATACTTCAGACGATCCGCCTTCCGACAACGTACATAACTCTGATGCTTTAAGATCCTTTACTTCGGGCTCTTCGAAAGTGGCCGACAGCGGGTCGACGAACAAAAGTGGCATCCATACAGGCTGGCTTATCTTTATCCTTGTGATCGCAGTGGTTATCATGCTCGGCACGGTTCTGTGGGTAGTATATATTATACGAAAAAGGAAGCAGCAGCAGGAGGCGGAGGAATACGCCAATGCGCTTGCTTCGGCTGAAGGAGTTGGTGCAGTGGGTCTGCGAGACCTTGCCGCTGGACACACAGGCCATACTCCAAGAGCACACATAGTTTTAGTGTGACGATTCTAAGGAACATATAGCTTGACATCGGCAAGTGAAGCGCTTTGCTATGGTACTGCGAGCTCCCTGACGTTATGTTGGGTCAGCTCAAGAAATATAGAGCCAAATTTATTCGATTGTAGTATTAGTAGTGCTGCGTCCACCTCTTTTCACAATCAGGGGTCGCTCTTCTTCAATATAATTTCCGTTCACAATGTCTCCGATTGACTACCTAGCTTGGCTACTCAGCACATGCATGAAACGATCGAGTTGGCGCAGTATAGATCGTTTTTTAGCCCAAATGCTGAATAATGCAACAATGTGACGATGAAAATGCATGAACATCTCAGCCGCTAAAGACAAGTAGATGTTGCGTCGTGTAAACTTGACAAGCGTGACGACTAGCTGCACCTCAAGTCGGTATCTGTTAAATCTGATAGTGTGTCGCAAAAACGTAAATGGATGTGGGTGCGAATCATGCCGACTGGTTTGTCCATCGCGACGTCTAAATGTCCGCAACGGTGTTTGCGTTGCTTGTGGCTGTTAAGCCAAATGGATCCAAGAAAGTCTGACGAGACAGATCGTCAGTGCTAGTATAGAGAGTGACAAATATAGCGGCCTGAGTCTTTCGGATTCCAAGCTGGCGATTGAGAGGGCGATTCGATGGCGTAAATATATACAAACCTCACTTTCGACGCAGTAAATAAAGTGCTGCGTCGAATTGAGGTTTCCATTCGCGTCTGTTCTGTAAAAATATCGCTTCGAAACACTGGCTTGTCGCTCTTCTTTGCACTTGCTATTTGTAAGTAAAACACTAAAATATTTCGCTCTCCCGACTTCAGTATCGTTCGTGGGATACAAATTCCAAGTAATTTTATTAAAACGACCGATTGATATGCGAGTCGTGATGGCGATGCTCTTGCTGGTCCTACAGCCGAGAGCGAAGGCC